CCGTTAAAATAGTTAACAAGAGGGAGAAGGGGGGAATGGAGGGGTGACAAAAACAAAATGAAGGACGAAATGCGCAGTCCATTACACCTCCCCAAGAGCACCCAAACTTGTTAACAAAGGAGCCAAAGTAACAAGATTCTAACAGCCATTTTTGTTCTAGTAGACAGAAAACAACAAACCTCTTTTTCTGATCACCACCCTCTACTGAGGACTCTTTCACTTCTGAAGATTCTGCAGCACTCTCTTCAGTCTTCGTGTCTTCCTTGGTCCCCTCGGCCTTCGCCACGCTTTCTGAATCGGCGCTTTCGATTTTGTGCAAGCCCGTTTCATTTGCGTTAGCAGCCTGAGCGGAGGCGCTCTCGGCACCCGGCGAATTGTCCTTAACGCCTTGTTGGTCCTCACATGGCGGTTGGACTTCACTTTGCTCTGAGGCGTCAATGTCTCCTTCCACATTGCCGGCCTCCTCGGCTTTACCGAGGTTGGACACATTGTCCTCCTCTTCCTTGCGTGAATCATCCCACAGTGAAGCGTTCTCCTCTTCAGTCAGCTCCTCGTTAAGTGGCTCTGATATACAACACCCGGCTACTTTCTCACTTTCTACGGATGTAACAGGAATAGAATGGCACAGAGTTTAATCACTTCTGAGACATTGCATTGGTTAGCGTGGAACTGGACTAGGACGCCACCCACTGCTTCACATAAGACAGTTAGTTAAGCCTAGAAAGAGACTGGAAAAACCAGAGTGAGTGAAAAAGCAACCCGTTTCCTGGCTAAAAGTCGGCTCTCGTTAAGTTTCACCTGATGCCAAGCGTGTGGAACGCCACATGGGCAGCACATAGATCCCGAGTGTCCATCGTTGGTGATTTGTTTTGCAGTTCAAGTGTCCGTGATAGAGAAGATGGAGACTTTTGTGCTGCCTTTAAAAAGCCATTTTTTTCTTTTGAATCAAGCAATTGGTCCATTTAGTGAATCTCCATAAAACAAACATTGAGTCCTATATGTGATTTTGCTTCAATGTGATCCGTTTCTTCATTTTCTCTTCTGATGTCTTCTTTAGGCAGAAACTGAACTGCACCTGCAAAAGCTAGCAAGACATTGCTACTGACTGACCACTAACCGTTACTGGCTCTGCGCATAAGCTTGTTTAGCAAAAAGCATTTTCTGAATACTTAATTTTTCCTAACACACTGTGAATGGGGTTAACTTGCACACAAAGCCAGTAACCTCTAGATTTCCAGTCTCTTTGTCAGGATTAGGAGGAATTATTAACTGCTAATCGAGCTTTAAAATTCACCCTGAAATTATTAAGGTGTTAAACACCTCCATACAGTCAGTACCTGTCATGTCTTCACGTTCCTCCTGTGGCTCAGATCCCTACAAAATAAAACAGAGCCGATAAGTATTAAGCAGTAACAAACACACACACAGCTTTCACATATGTTTGAATGGAAGCCTGGTGTGCTTTCCCCCTACATGCAGTTCTTTAGGCAGGTGAGAGCACAGCAATCACACTCAGGTGCGCAACAAAACAACCGAGAGAGGCTGACCAAGGTGGTCTGCCTGCTCCCAAGTGAACTCGACTGCAGTGAGAAAGCGAAATACGGAGATATTGCTGATTCGACTCAACTGCAGAAAGTGAATCGAACATGTCGTGCGCTCTGAGTAACTGCACCAAAGGACAGAGCTGCAGTGCTACAGAAATGCCTTGCGTTCTGGAGATTTAGATAAACAGTGGACATGGAACACATGATGTAAAACAAGTTATTTATATAATTATCTAATAATGTCTTCATGGTTAGATCATTTAGATTTATGTATTTGTGATTTCTAAACACACTTAAAGGCTTGCTTGTTTTCTATCACTGCACTGCTGACTAATTAATAAAAGAGGCTTATGAGGATGTTTTCGGCCCTACACGCCCCTTGCCAACAGTGTGCTTTTTTAGTTCTTTTAATTATGTGCGGCATGAAAAACAACAAAAGAACCAAAAGAATCCATTTTGCTCTTACTCAGACTAAGAACTAATAGGTGTGAAAGGGTCCTTAGAGTTGATATGCCACTTCTTTAGTACCTGAGTATCCTGTTTCTGGTGATCTTCTGAGTCTGCATCTTTAGTTTCCATATCCTAACACAAGCATATCAAGTCAGTCAATTTTTATTTCTAATTTATGAGCATCTATGGTTCTAAGTCCGACCCACAGCCTTATTCGAAACACCCACCTCCTCTGACTCAGACTTGAGTGCATCAGAATCGGCAAAGTCTTCTGCGTTGTTTTCATTCGAAAACGTGTTCAGAAGTTCGTTCTCGTAATATTCGTCGTCTTCGGCCATCATGCTGTTATCGATATCGGCTTCATCCAGAACATTCATGTCCATGATATCCATGTCATGAACGCTCTCGCCGTGTGCATCACCATCGTCCTGGAGAACAGAAAGTCGGCTCGTGTTAGTTGCTCGTTAAAGGGCATGAGGTTTTCACTTTTGTTACTGCTGTTTGGTTCAGTTATATTGAGGATTTTTGTGCAATAAAAAGCACCTGGCCATCGACAGACTCCTCTTCCAGTGCACAGTCCTCTGATTCATCTGCTTCTGCTCTCTTCCCTATAAAAGGTGGTGTAATAAGTAAACACTAATCTTAGCTAAATCGAATTTTTACTACAACAAACAAAACAAATTGCAAATTTTACCTTTAGGAGTTCTCCTGGGTGTTTTCTTAGGAGTGATTTCAAGCTGAACCACTATTTCATCAGGATTGCCTCCTTCCTCCTCAATGGCCTGCAACAAAGATTTTTTACCTTTATTCCCTCAGTAGACAGCAAGAAATCAATGCCCACAATTTCCACTGTACACCAAATCTATTAGGCAAGTGTAGCTAACAATTAAACGAAGGCTACGTCACCATAAAATCTCTGCAGATCGACTACTTCTGAAATAAATGGAATTGTGTGTGGGTTTCTTTCTTTTTATTTGCTTAAGTGTTTTGCTCATGTGTCTGTCACTGCCTCTATGGATTCAATATCTTCCAGTCAACTCGTTAAAACACCCAAGATTTTCCAGCATAAACATAAATGTAGAGCACTGAGACAAACACTTCCTTTCCACTCACTCACCAGGGTCTACACACTGCGTGTTTTTGAGACGTGCGTGGATGAGGCATATGGCTATGATTGAGCGCTCTCTATCAACCCCCTTTCTCCTCGAAACACAGACCCTGACAACCTTCAATGTAAAATTCCTAAAATGGCACCAAAATACTCATTAAACTCTGTAGTTAAGTCTTGTTAACTGTACGTTCATTACATGCTCTGAGGACACTAATTAACCTAGAACAGAAAACAGCATTAATGCCTAAAACTAACATTAGTTTTGATTAAATTATGCAAATTAGTCACTGAACAATAAGAGAGAGTTAACCCAAATGAGAGATATGATTAGAGACGGCAAACTATTAATGAAGGACCACGGTCTTTTTATTTATTTTATATGCAAGCCATGAAATTAAAACATTTTTAATGTATCCTTTTCAATGGCCACTAGAGCTGCACAATATATCGAAATATTGCAAATGTAAATATTGCGATATGCGTATCGCAAGGGCTTAAGAAAACCGAATTAATTTAATACTTCGAAAAGTCAAAGTTTTAGGTTGACGCAGACAGCAGAGAATGCTTTCTTTTCCTGAAAAGAACATGCAACACGTATGTTGGTTATGTCATTTGCAGTTTTTGAAAATATAATTTGCATCGATTTTACACACTTATGGCATTATCGTACCGCATATCGAATTATTTATGTATTGCATATCGCGTTTTTCTTCAATATCGCACAGCCCTAATGGCAACATTTTATAAATTGGTAACTGAGTCAATATTGTTAAACAGCATTTGTTGAATTTTTCACTTCTGTATAAAACAATTTCAGGCAGCATTTGTGATGTGACTAAATAAGCACCACTGCCTGAACCAATCGCTGCTTAATGTGCAAATTAATAGAAACTGACAACGTGATACACGGAATCACTTATGGCGCAGAACTTGTATGATAGGTTATAACTAGTTTGTCATTTCTTCTCATTTAAAAGCAACAACAAAGCTCACTAAAAGCATGTAACATTACGAACGCGGTCAGGTTATGCAATCTATTGTCCTCCACAAAATATTTTATGGCATATTTTGGTTAGGTTTGGCTTCTGAAATACCTACCTATAACAAATGAAAGCTAGTTAAAGTATTATTTGGATGAGATAAGATTTTCAAAAATACACCTAGAATTAATGTTGTCAGAGGACGACTGTAATGTATGTAACATATGAGTGATTTACACGGGACACGTGACAAGTTACCTAGAACACCAGAAGAGTCGCCAAGTCTGCTTATAATACAAACAACTTCATTTTTTTAAAAAAAACATTTATTTTACATTTATTTCCCCCATGCACTGACTGACACTGTCTGCTCACAGCCTCACAATGATACACCAGTGCTGTAGCGTAATTCACCCTCCCAAAAACCCCATGTGGACCCATCACACCCTCTGCTCCCCTCACTGGAGAAAAATCACGTTGCAATTCCAAGCGATGATAGTTAGTATAGTAAACATAGATAATCATATGTACAAGTCCACAAACAATGCCACCAACAAAGTGGTCCAAGTATGGCACAAAAAAAAAAAAAAAAGTGCATCGCAGACTGGGAAAAGCATAAACAACTTAAAGACAGGATAGGTCGAGTGGTCGGTGATCAGGTACTGTAAGGCGGAGATTCATGCTCACCATGCAGACCTCCTGCAACACGCAAGCGCATAGAAACACAAGAGGAATGCCAAGCAGGCTTTATTAATACTGGGCTTGTTTTTGAAGATGCCATTGCTTATTTGTCTCACGAGATTTGGCAACACTGTTACTAACGTCAGTTCGGACGGGCTGGGCATATATACATACACATACACACAACCTGGGCTTATTTCTACTGCTCGTTTGTATAGAAGGTAATGATAACTGGGCGAAGTGGCAGCTCAGTGGTTAGATGTTGAACTTCTGATCGGAAGGTTGTGAGTTCAAATCCCAGCACCGCCAAGCTGCCACTGCCGGGCCCTTGAGCAAGGCTCTTAACCCTCAACTGCTCCGTTGTATACATGAGATAATTGTAAGTCGTCTGCCAAATGCCATAAGTGTAAAATGAAAGTGTAAATGATAATTATTTCATTACCCCACTTCCTGTAAAACTAACCCGGCCTGAACAGGGCTCAGGATAGCTTATATTAGTAATAAACATGCCACTTAGAATAACATGTTAAATAACATGTTATATTCAATGGCGATAAAGGAGCAGAAAATGTTCCTAGGCTTTTGTAGTAATTTACGGTAAAATATCAAAAATATATTTTAGAAGTACTTTGAAGCATCAACAAAAATACTTAATTAAACCGTGACTTTAGTTTCCCGAAATAAATACAGCAATGCTGCACGTTTCAATATTTTAGCATAGTGCATGAGAAATAAACTAGTTTTACAAAACTGTAACTGAATCTGTTTTAAATTTAAGAGAGCAAAACTAGCATTACCTCAAGGAAAACAGGAAGTTAGCACGCGTCCCTAGCCAGTGTAGCTACAAGCTACTCACACTAGCTACTAACACTAAAACATTCATGTTCCGGACCAGTGGTGCTCATGTCAATATTTTCCAGCATGTCATTATCTTTAATGTTTATATAAAGATAATAGCTGCACTTACAATAATACCGGCAACGTAGAAACCAAAATCTACACGGGCCTTTGCTAATGCTAATGCTAACAGCGCGGGGACGTTTTAGCCCGCTTAGCTAGCACACTATCTTGCTAGCAAGCTTTTGAGCATGCTTTGCAATGGAAAAAAAACACAACAACAACAACAAACAGAAAATAGAAACACCACATAATGAAAAATAAATTCATTAAAAGCCGCAGAAAAAGAGCAGAAAGCGAGTCGCGCTCGTCACGCACGCGTTCAGCAGAAAACTCGTTCTAGTAAACAGCGATTTAGATTCGTTACTGATTAAGGAAGCCAAACTGAAGTAAATATTTAGAAGCTGTAATCTTGCATCATATGCACCACCTGATTTGTGAGTCTTACCTTTTTGAGGCGCTCTGACAGTATGCTCTTGTTCCCGCTGATGTCCAGGTTTCTTTTCTTCAGCTCGGCCCGCAGATCGATGACTCTCAGCTCCGATAATTTTCGAACCCCGGCGCCTTCAAGAGCCTCTCCAGCCCCCGAATCTACCGCCGACGTGTTTTCAGACATGATTGAAAGATTCAGGGATAAAAGTGCGCTGTCTAACTTTGCGTTTTAACGACTCAAACTGGTCTTGGCGCCAGCGCTCAGCCTCCTCTCCAAAATTTCTTGCACGCGACAAAATGGCGTCGGTGACCAGAACTGCGCATGCGCCAATGTCCAATGGCTACACTTTCCTTCCATTCCCCAGTGGTGCAGCCATCACATGTAGTGCAAATGTTCTGCCTCTATTCAGTTCTTACACTCTCATCCCTAAATATGCTTATTACACAGTCTCAGTTTTCCATTGTTTAAAATATACTCCCTCCACTCAACCCCTACCCACTAATCACCCTCTATTCAGTTCCTATCCTCTCTCTCATCATTATATACGTTTCCTATACTCAGTTACCTAAATATGCTCCCTTCACTCATCCCTGTAGCATAGGGCATCCTGCCTAAAAACTGTGCCAACACACGCTCCCTCCACTCACCCCTAACCCACTAATCACTAAGTAGGCTTCCTACAATCAGTCCCTGTCTTCCATTATGTATTAGTTAGTTATTGCAAGCAAGGGATATCCAACCAAATATTAAGTGTTATTTACTCTAATTTACTTTAAAACTGTCTGTTCCAATACTTTTGCTCACCTAAAAATTGGGTGATCTGCCGCCAATGATGCCATGTTCTGAGTTGTTTAACACATCTAGACGTAAATATCAGGAAATAAAAGCTGAAATTCTGATCTATCGTTTCTTATTCATCTACTTAGTGTATAGCAAAGACAAAAGATTTGGCCTTGCCATTCCAAAACTTTTGGAGGGGAATGTAATTATCTTCCTCCAAAAAAACTATAAATTAATGACTTTTTAAGCTTCCATGTCTTCTATTACCCAAATTTTCCACACATGCACAACCTCTTATCCCTGTACCATATGACACTGTGCCCAAAATCATGCCTACACATGCTCCCTCCACTCGAGCTCTACCAACTAATCCCTAAATATGCTCCCTATATTCAGTTCCTACTGTCTCTTCACTAAATGTTTCCTACACTCAGTCCCTACCTTCTATTGTCTCAATATGCTCCCTCACTCAACCCTTACAAACTAATCTTTAAATACACTTCCTCCATGCAAACTCTTACTGACTAATCCTTAAATACACTCTCTCCACTCAACCCATACCCACTGATCCTTAAATACATTCCCTCCACTCAACCCATACCCACTGATCCTTAAATACATTCCCTCCACTCAACCCATACCCACTGATCCTTAAATACATTCCCTCCACTCAACCCATACCCACTGATCCTTAAATACATTCCCTCCACTCAACCCATACCCACTGATCCTTAAATACATTCCCTCCACTCAACCCCTACCACTGATCACTAAATACACTCCCTCCACTCAACCCCCACCCCTTAATCCCCAAATACATTGCATCCACCCAGCCCTACCCAATAATACCTATGAACTCCCTCCACTCCCTACCCACTGATCCCCAAATGGGCTCCCTCCATTCAATCCCTGTATCCTTTCTTGCTCTGTCCTTCTGACTTCAATACGCTCCCTATATACATTCCCACCACTCAGCCCCTACCCTTTCATCACTATCCTCCTCCCTTTAACTCCATACCTGTTTCCTGCCTCCCCATATGGTTTGATTTAATTTTAAGCTCAATTTTTAAATTCTAAGAATCACAAACCCCAAAAAGTCACACAAAATGTATTAATTAATGACTATAAAAAATCTTTCAGAAGTTAAATAATGCATGTATTGGCAAGTGATCAGTGGTTTTACATGCTTGCGACTCATAAAAACACAATCAGTCCATGGTATAAAATTCCTTGTGTAGATAGATGATACAGCCGTATTACATATTACATAGCCTACAGTATTACTTTTCAAAATTAATAACCAAAAAATAGGTAGTCCTTTGTAGACGAGTCATTTCCTTGTGCATGACGCCTGCAATGGTACAGCAGAGTTTTAGCCTGCTTTTTCAGATCGGGTTGTTTGTTTATATACAAAAACAAATATATTAATAACTCTATCGTAACAATATACAGTCTTTTTTTAAGACTTCCTACTTAAGACCTCTTCAAATAATTCTGATATTTCACAAATATGTCTTTGTTTTTCATCTGCCCCCAATATAATATAATGTCCTGTTAGTATGTAGTGCTATTGCTTTAAGAAATTAACCCTGCTTACTATGGCAACCATTTTTCCCCTTCACTTTGACATTTGATGAGTGTTTCAGTTTAAGATAGGTAAGCTCTAACACTCCTTGTTATTTTGATATATTTTTTTTACTTTTTACTCATAACAGTACGTTACAGTAAGTCACTGTTATTCTTCCACAATGACTAATTTTCCTGAATGACAAATTTTGCCTCTGTATTTCCTCCCTGTTAGGTTAAAACACACAGGAAATCAATAACATTTCATAATTTTTAAATATATAAGATACAAATATTTCAAAATATGTTGAAGGTAAACTGTTATTCTACCACAATGACTTTTTTGTCTTTGTATTACCACCTTGTTATCTTCCACCCTGTTAGGTCAAAATACACAGGAAATAAACAACATTTCTTAATTTTTAAATATATATCTAAGATATAGTTATTTTAAAATATGTTTAAATTCAACTAATATTCTACTTTTTGCTGAATTTTGCCTCTGTATGTCCACCCTGGTCTGTTCCACCCTGTTAGGCCTGTGATTCCTAACACGGAGACATTTATACACAACATGTATATGTTCTTTTGAAAAATAGATTCTTAATCTATATATAATATACATTCAGCTTAAGTGCTTGCACCATAAAGATATATATATATTTTTAAATGCCTTCAGGCCTAAAAGATATCACATACACGGAATGACCCAGAGCTAAGCACCATTGGACAACTGGCACCATTTTGAGATAAATATTAAGAGAAAAAGAAGCTGAAATCATTTTGCACATGTTTACACTAGAAGGAATGAAAGCTACTGAATTTGAAAGGTTTGTCAGCACTAGTGTGAGTGAAACTTTTGGACGCTCTGGGTTCCTCTGACATGAGGAACTCAGGGCTGGTGTTCTCCTCGGGTTCGTTTATCCTCTTCAGAGCAGAAGCAGAAGAGAATCCAGCATGTGTGTAGAAGAAGGACTCAGTTGATTCTGTGAAGGAAGTGCTGGCCTCTAAGGAAGGCAAACTGGCCTGCAGATCCTGAGCAAAAGACAGCATGCTGGCAGGCTGAAGATCAGAAGAGCATGACGCTGATGAAGTGTGGAGTCGCTGTGGCTCGTGCAGGTTGAGTTTGGAAACCAGGGGTTTGCCCACAGTTACCGATCGCCATTCCTGCACCTCATCATCGAGATTAACGTACTGATAGTGCAGACACACGGTGAACGACAGCTCACTCTGTACAGGAAATACACACACAAGTATTAAATCAGTAGCTATGTTTACATGCAGCTCAATAACCTGACTGAGAGCTCAACTGGAATGAAAAACACCTCAATCAGAGTAGAGTAAGCCAATCCAAAAGTAAACCAATCCAAAAGAAATTTCTATCCGATCAAAAGAAATAGGAGATCAGAATCCGTGGGTGCAAGCAATAAAATGATAATGGAAAAAACACAGTCCGTGTTACAGATGATATAATCTGTTTATAATAATTGTGATGATGGTGGGTGGTAGAATGGGTCTCAGTTTCACCTGATGAGACAGACATGGGACGTGAATTGACCTTAATAAAGTCGTATCAGTTTTTGATATTTGCCAATGATGAAGCAGAACATGAACACGGTAAAAGAAAAAGGAG